GAATGGTAGGATTTGTTTTCTTCTTATGGTAAAAGGCCATTTCTACCAGATGCAGAACAGTATTTACAGAACAGTTCCCACGAAATGAAGTTCAAGGGCTGGCAAAGCAGGTCCAGGGTGACAGACCTGGGACAGCAGTCATGCTGCAGGTGGGGCACTGCGACAAACAGGTATTTGACCTGCTCTCTGACTCCTGCCACAGAGCTCCTAAAGCCCCTGGGGTTTCCTGAGTAACAAGACAGGGGGGCCACTTCTGTGATTCACCCAGCCCTTTGCCAGGGGAAGACCCAGAGACCGCCGACCACACCACTGACCAGGGAACCAAGCCCCCGAGCATGTCCAGCTTGGCGAAAGGTCGCAGTGCTGGGAGAGTGGTGTGCTGGAGAAGGCATGGACGCTTGCCTGGGCAAAGTCTGTGCACCCAAGGAGGGGTCGTGGGAACCCCTGGGTTATGGCAGGTCGTCAGCAGTTCAGCCCTGACTGTGGCGCCTGTCAAGAGACGTGCTGGAACGGGAAACCCACGGAGTTGATGTCAGAGGCATTCTGAGTGGAGAGACACAGAAGTGCTCCATTTAGGGGTCAGCGTTGCCTGCAAGGGTCATGGGGGCCTTGGGTGCTGGGAATGGCTGTACACGGACCAGTGTGTGTGCTGCACATTCAGGCTTCTAGGCTGCTATGTATACACCTTAACTCAAAAAGAAAAGGTGGGTTTTCTGTTCCCAGAGTCAAAAAAGATGGTGAGGTCCCTAACTATGGCAGACTCATACATGTTCACTCCAAATAACTGTCTAACGGTACTAAAAGCGGTGAAGCAACCTCAGAACCAGGCTTTGACATGAAAGAAGTCCCCCAGGAGAGTGGGGTCACCGAGCACTGTTCTCCCATCTCTGTGCTGCAGTGATGGCTGGACTGCAGGCCCCCCTCAAAAACCCAGGTCCCGCCTGAGAGCAAAGCAGGAGGGCCCTAAGAAAGGCCACCTCTGCAGGGAATCACTGAGACCATGGCTGGGCTGGAGGCTCCGGAAGCCTCACCGGGGGCGTTTCACCTGGTCAGGGGGCTGGCCCTCACCTGGGGGTGTGTGTGGGGTGGGGTAAGGTGGGCCTCATCTGGAGTGCATGTGTGGGAGGAGGTGGCCCTCACCTGGGGGGGAGGTGAGGGAGGCAGGCTTCACCTGGCGTGTGTGTGTGTGTGTGTGTGTGTGTGTGTGTGTGTGTGTGTGTGAGGCAGGCAGGCTTCACCTGGCATGTGTGTGTGGGGACGTGGGCCTCACCTGGGTTGGGGGGAAGGTGAGTCTCAGCTGGCATGTTGTGGGGGGTGGGCCTCACCTGGGGTGTGTGGACGCTGCATCAGTGCACATGTCTGCAAAGGGCAGACTGTCCCGCCATGACAACTCAGCACAGCCCCACCCATGTGAACTGGGACACTGGAGCACCTGGCTGCTGGGTCACGGCCATGTCACCAGTGAATACAGCTCAACCCAGGGCCTTCACCTAGGACACCCTGATGCCAGGGGCTGGGCTTGTCACATTCCTGCCCCCAAGGCAGCCCACTCACTCTGGGACATATTGAGACTCCACATCACCTCTCCCTTGGCTGCACCCGGTTCTAACCACCTCCGTAACAAGCCTACTTAGGCAGCATTTGGGGACTTTAATCAGTACACAGCCATCAGTGTGAGCCCAAGGGCTGGAAAGCCACTTCGAGAGTATAATTTTACATGTAAGTCCAGACTCAAAATAACGCCAAATAGTAGTCGGGTACCATATGAATGTCAACAATGGTTTATACTAAAGCATCATAGGCACATGTTGTCAGCGAGGACCTCTCCAATGTCCCAGTGCTGGTGTGAAGCACTGTGCAGTCAACACTTAGTTTCTCTCATTAAAGACTCTCAACTGGAGAGATTAACTAATGATGATGCTGCCTTTCTGTGCCTCTGAGGTCTCAGCCTAGACTCTGGTGACCCAGACGACCTCCTGCCTCCCATCCATCTCCCTTACCCGGGCAGGAGTGCCCTGGGCCGGGCATACATCCCCCACCCTACGGGAAGCTCCAGGGGCCTGTGCCCCGCCCCCACCTTGGGCATGCAGCACCCCCTTGAGCAGCTGCAGCAAACCCTTGGAGACCACTCTCCTTACCTGCCCGCCCCTTATGTGTTAGTGAACCCACTGGTCTGCTTCTATCAACACCTGGAATCTGACCACTGCTTCTGTCAGAGCCTGACCACCGGCCCCGGCAATCTGACTCGCTGCTACAGCCTTCTCCAGTCGCCCTGGCAGTCAGAGGGGCCCTTAGCCTGCGACTGGGACTGAGTGGGTCCTCCCTCAGTCCCCCAGGGCTTCCCTGCTGCCCACCCAAGGGTCTGCTTTCAGTGCGGCCTTCCCTGCCAAACCTCCCCAAAGCATCTAGGTGCTGGCTCTCCCTCCTGTGTGGCAAAGCTTGCCACCTCACCTGCTCTGTTCTCCTTGGGACTGTGGTGCTGTCCCCACTACATACAAGAGGAGGCAGGGGAGGGTGGGTCCAGGCCTGTGTCGGGGTGCATGAACGCCCTCCTGCCAGTCCACTGACTCCTACATCCATTAATCTGGCCCTTCCGCCTGACTGCATATTGGCCCAGCTGTGTCCCCACCCCACTCCATCGCAGGACACCCCAGTCCTGGAACCCATGTCAGCCATCCTACCCGAGTCCCCCGCTCTGCTGCACCTCCCACCCCCACCCCGCTGTGTATTCATCTCCCTGAATCACAGCAGGCCACAAGCCCACCTGCCCCAAATGACACCACCACCACCTGCTGGCCCTACAGGGGACGTGGTCTCCACCCTCCTCTTCCTTGGGGCCTGGCACATCTCAGCTGAGACCTGAACACCAGCTGTGCCTGCCTCTTGGCCTCCCCTCTCCAGGCTCTATCCCTCTGGGCAGGAATGGGGCACCCTGGTGGGACAGTGATATGCCACCCCACCACTCCCAAACACACACACACACATAGCTGGGCCACCATGATGGTCCTCACCAGACTGTGAGGGAGCAGGCCCCGTGCAAACGCCTAGACTCCAGAGCAGGCAGAAGGTACACACCCCATCCTCTGCATCATCTCAGGGCTGTTTGGGTAACTTTCTGTGTTCCTTCTCTGGACCTTCCTGCCCTTAATGCTCAAGATGTCCCACTGTAGAAATCCACCTGCCGGGCAGAGGCCAGTCAGTGCACCAACCATGAGGTGGACAGGTGGGCAGGCTGCATCTCCCACTGTCGGGGGCCCCAAACCTGACTCTCAAAACACAAAGTGAAAAAGCACTTTCTCTAGGAACAAGCAACCACTGTAAATCCTGTGACCTCGACCCCAAATCACAGCCACTGCAGAAAATCTACTCCATTATCAGTAAGTTCAAACTCCTTATGAAAGACCCCTGGCTGAGAGCCCCTCCCCTGCCCCTCTGTAGCCCCCTACAAATGAGCCAGAGAGGCACAGAGGCACCCACCCGGCCTTCACTCTACTCACAGCCCCACGTGGACGGTCCGGGCTCCTGTCCTGGACAGCACATGAGGACTCATGCAGTAACATGAACATTTTTTGGAAAAAAAAAAATTCAAGCAATTTCAGGCTGATTTGGACCTCTACCTAAAACCAGTAACAGAGTAACTGAACACCATTGTCCTGGCAGATGACATGTGGCCCCAGTCACGCAGGGCCAGGTGTGGCCTCTGCACCTCTGCTCTGGGCTGGGAGTCAGGCCCAGCTCGCCCTGACCGTCACCTGGGGCTGTGAGTAGAGTGAAGGCTGGGTGGGTGCCTCTGTGCCTCTCTCTGTGCTGTCCCGGGCTGCCCACTGTCACAGTCGGCAGTGACCCCGCTGTGTCCACAGAGCCTCGCAGCCCCCTGAACAGTTTTCCGGGGCACCCCACTCCAGGCTCTGGACCCTATAGCCAAAACCAGCCTCCCAGGGCCTGCACTCGGACCTCGTTCCCGGCGCAGAACGCCCGCCTGACGCCCGCATGCGGACACCAAGGGGCCCGAGCCCGTTCTCACAGGCTTCCCTCCGTGAAGGGGAAAGGGATGGAGGCTGACACGCTGGCACCCTGAACTAACGCGGCCAAGACTCTGCTAGGGATCCACGGGGCGGCAAGCTCCGAGGGGGGCTGGCAGGGGAGGTGACACCTCGAGGGACGGAGGAAGGAGGATGGGCCAAGACCAGGAAAGGCTGACGGGAGGCAGGGGGCACTGGGGCCTTCTGGAGAGGCTGTGGGGGGGCAGCAGAGAAAAGATGGCCCAGAGGCCCGGGTGTCACCCCAGAAGCTCAGGGAGCTGGGCCGCATCCTGAGCAGGCCACAAGCTCCTCTGCGAAAAGGAAAGGGCCACCAAGCAGGGGCAGGGGCGCCCGCGGCCGGGATCCAGGCAAGGGGTGGGACGCACACAGGCCTTTCGCGTTGGCGACGGAGGCTCGGGGCGGCTCGGCCGGGGGCACGGCGACCGCAGGCCAGAGCTCCCAGGTCAGGACCCTGCACCGCGGACTCCGTGTCCTGGATCCCCAGCCACGGGCCCTGCGTCGTGGGCCCTGTGCCATGTCCCCAAGCTGGGACTCTGTGTCGTGGACCCCCGCACCGTGCCGACCTGGTAGACGCCTGCGCACGTCGCCGCGTTGTGGACCCCACGCCGGACCCCGCGTGGACCCCCGGCAGCAGGCCCGGCGTTCGCGAACTTTCGGCGCCGGCCCCGCTCCGACTTTCAGTTTCCTGCTCCGAGAAATCCCCTCAGGCCGCGGGTCGGCGGGTCGGCGGCCCTGCCTCCACGCTCTGCCTCCAGCGCCGCGCGCCCCACTCCCGCGACCCTTCGACCCCTTACCTGGCCCGCCCGCCCCGGCCCCAGATCCCGACCCGACCCGACCCGACCCCTACGGCCCGACTCACAACCTTCGCCGCGCGCCCGGAACTGCGCGCCCGGCCGCCACAGCCGCCCCCGCCGCCGCCGCGGACCCGCCCCCGAGCTCGCCCTGACGGACTGACGCCGGGACCTACCAGGAGCGCGCAGGAGCCGCAGCGGGCGCCAATTGGTCCAGGTTCTGCCCGCCTCCTTCTCGGACCCGCCCTCCTGACGGACTGACACAGCAGCCTATCGGAGCTGCAAGGAGCCGCCGCTGGCGCCGATTGGGCGGAGCCGCCGCGGCGCGGATACTTAAGGTGCCTCAGTTGGCCGCAGCCCAGTCCGCCGGCGTTGGCGCGGCTCTTCTCTTCCTCCGAGCTCGGCCGCGACCGCGGAGGACCAGCTCGTGGCCGAACGCGCCGCGGCGGCACCTTCCCCTGCCCAGCGCCCGGCTCAGGGCAGAGCCTCAATCTGGGTTACATTTATGAAAAAAGTACAAAAAGACACCTGCTAACTTCAAGGGTATGAAGGTGCCCGAAGCCTCCCTTGCGGGAGTGAAATGTCCTAGAACGAGTAATGATCGTGGCTCGACACTATGAATGTACAAATGGCACTGCACTGTCCGCTTTAAAATGATTTGAGTGGTGAATCACTTTATGTGAATTTTACCACCAAACAAAATTTAAAATGCACCACCTGGCCTCCAGACACACGGCAACGTGGAACATGCACTTGGAAACATCTAGAAACAAGGTGGTGGTGGTCTTGGCCAGAAAAACGGGATAGCACTGAGAGGCCAGGCCAGAGTAGTGACCCCACTCCCCCCTGAGACCAGTCTGTTCCTTTATCTGCCAAAGGAACGCTGGGACAGGATAGATCATCTCCGGTCGACCTGGGGATTTGCTAAGGGTCTGACCAACAGCCTCTCGCCTCACACCGTCACTCCAAGGTGGGGATCGCTCCACTTCGCAGAGAAGGAAGCAGGATCGGGGCAACGCCTCACCAGGGCACACAGCACATCTGGAATCTCCACTCCAGGGGACCATCTGAAGCGAGAAGAGCTGTTCAAGGATGGAGTAGATCAGAAAACAGGCAGGCTTTTAAGTTACGGGGTTTAAACAGTCCATGTCATGTCCAGAAGTGCTCACACCGCGTAAATCATTACTTGGTTTACACTCGGAATTCCCCTGTGCAAGGTGCCACACCCCTGGGGCGCGGCGCAGGGCCGCCTGCCTCTGACGGCGCTCAGGAGACAACTGGGTTCCATGAACTCCCAGGCTCGTTACCCGCAGTCACGGAAACCTCTCCAGTCTCCATCTACAGGTTCAACGAGGTTTCATTCAAGCCCCATAAGGAGAGAGCTCATGGGCTAAGCGTCTGGGAGGTCAAGGCCATCCAGTGAACCACCAGCCCAGCAGGAAATGGTGCTTGTAGCAAACAGGAGGTTCACCTGCAGCAGGGCACCCCGCTTCCTTCAGGGTAGAATCAGGAAGTGCCCCCTGCCTTCGACCCTTCCCGGGAGTGTCAGGCCTAGCTTTTCTGGCATCAGGGATTGCAGAGGTGCTGCTTGAGGGGCCCCCTGAGCCCTGCACCTTGTCCAGAAAAGTCTTACCTCCTGGGAGGACAGCTGCCTGCAGACCTGGCACGGGCAGGGCGAGCAACTTGAGGTACTTGCCCATGGTGCTAGTGTGAAAATGCTGCTGCTTTCAGAGGCTTTCCACACACACACATTTTTTCTTTTAAATTTTACTATGATGCCCCCCCCGCCCACGAGGCGTGGGGATGTAAGAACAGAGGGAGGGGAGCCTTGGCAGCAGGGCCCCGACTGGATTGCAGCTAGCTGCTGCCCCCACCCACCAGCTGGGAAGAGGTGACACCTTGGTCCTGGGTGGCTGGAACGGGGTGACTCACTCTGCTTGCCGGACAGCTCAGGGAATTCCCATACAGGTTCCTTCCTGCCAAAAAGAAAGCAAAACAGCCACAGAGGCAGCCACCTCAGTGAGGGTGGGGACAACCCCAAGCAGAGTTGAAGGAGGCTCACACCATCCTCCCACTGCTCCCTGACAGCAGAAGGCACACACTTCAGGCCTGGAGCCCCCCACAGGGAGGCGAGGGCCTGGCGGCAGACTGGGGTCAATACTTCGATGGACAGCAGGGACTTGGCTGGGCAGGAGAGGCCCCATCAGCTGCCCACCGGGCCTGCAGACCACTGTGCCCGAAGGCAAGCCTCCCCGGCCTCTGACAGCCCCCTTTGTTTTCCTTGCCCATGTTAGCCCCTAAGACACTTCTGAACACTAGTGGCACCTTCACTCCACGCCAGTGTATTCTGTCCCCTTGGAGGCCCTCACCTTACACCCTTTACTTACTCAGGCCTTTGGGAGGACACACACCAGCTTGCATGGGACATCCCCTATGTGTCCCATGCTGTCCCCAGAGAAGGGGCTGGCACTTGGCAGAACTAGCCTCCCAGGGTGGGGCCACCTCACCAAATACCACCCACTTCTGCCCTAAAATCTCACTCTTGTTCTCCTCTCATTTTAAGACATTTAAAGGCCAACCTTAGACTACAGCTTCTGAAAGAAGCCCCCTTATTAGGTCACACCACAGTCACCTGACAACCTTTCCAGAAAGGCTGCAGACAGCTCTGCCACCAGAATTCCCCTGTGCTGGCACCAGCCAGGAGGGCCCCCCCTGCCACCTCCACTCCCCAAAAGTGCACAGCCACTGCAGTCTCTCCCCCAGGGCAACCCCCAGGGAGAAAGACATGGTGGGCATGGTGAGGCCACATGGCTAACTTGACAGCCCACTCTGGACCCAGGAGGTGGGGACCTCTCATCTTAGAACTGCAGGGAGGGGGAATGAAGCCCACAGCGGAAGGGTCAGCCCAGGGTGGGACTCCCACCAGGAGGCCTGCCCCAGTGAGCCCATGCCCAGCTCCGCACAAGGAAGAAAGCGTGGTCACGAAGGCGTGCAAGTGCCGCATTCTCTGTGAGAAAGGTGGAGAGGAACAGGATTTCACCCGTCTGCTCTCTGTAGACTTGGAAAGGACACACAGGAAAGTAACAACAGTACAGGTGGGGAGGGGGGCGGATCACGTTCACATACACCACTTCACACCTTTAAAACCATCGGATACTACCAATTCAAAAAAGTGTGGGTTTGAAGCCACAGAAGGTCACTTTGGAAGCTCCTGAAAACACAGAAAAGCACCAAGAAGAAAGCAAAGATCACCCCAAATTCCCCACCCAGAAACAAGCTCTACCAAGATTCCCTACTCAATTTTACACCCACAGCCTTTCAGCCTTTCAGCCAACCTCAGAGCACAAATGCCACATCACACCCCAGAGTCAAAGGCCCGGGTGACAGCCTCACAAACAGAGGTAAAGATGCCCCAGCTGCCCTGGCCATCTGGGGCCTCCAGTCTCCTGGCAGGCCTGGCCCCAGGGCCTTTGCACCAGCCAGGCCTTCACCTGCATCAGCTCCCTCGCTCCCCCAGGCACTGGGTACAACCTGGGCCCTCTGCAGTCTTAGGGTCCCAGGTGAAGATGATCTCCCTCCTGGTGGCCCTGTGTTAAGTGGGGTTTCCCACCTCTAGAATCAAACTGTGCCCCTGTCTCCCCAACATGTGGGTCCCTGGAGGGCAGTGGCCCCTTCAGCCTCATTCGGGATCCCGTTCCTGGTTCATTCTTTTTAGATGGAAGAAGGCTTGAGCGGGTAACGAATGGCTGAACAAAGCTATGGCCCAGGAACTGCCCTTTGCATCCCCTCTCTTATCAGGCACAGCGACGGTGGGCGGGGGAAGGGATGGGGCGGGGGATCCTCGCGCCACCTGCCAGCTGCAGCCGGAACTGCTACCCTGGCCACGCGATCCCCACCCGCTGACCTCCCCAGAGCACCGCGTACCTGTGCTCTGCAGGGATCTCGCTTCAACCGCTTTACTCCATCCCGCAAACCGGAGAGATGGCTCTGCTCACGCTCAGACCCAGCAAGCTGATCACCTGGCCAAGGTCCACAGCCACTCCAAGGGTCTCCTGTCCATACTGCCGCCTTCCATAATGTGGCTCCTGCCTGTTCGGTGTTACCCGTGGTCTGGGACCTCAGCATTCTTTCGCACAACTAGGACCTCTAATGCGGGTCCTTCCACCTGTCCAGCATCCTTCCTTGCTTTCCAGAGCCCAGGCCCATCCCTGCCATTGCCCACCCTCTCCAGCTGGCCTCCTTCCTGGGCAGTGCCATCTGCCCATGACATGCCCCTGGCAAAGTCTAGGCGGTCCTGTCTCTGCTGCTGACTGGGGCTGAAGGCAGAAGCTGGTGGCCCTCCACTGTCCAGTCCAGCTGCTCATCCTCCCGGGATGGCGGTCTACACCACTTCCCACACACCCAGCCTTTCCTGTCCACATTGACAGGGAAGAAGTTATCAAGGAAATAGACTGTGAAGATCTCACCAACTGCAGGGCATTATTTTCCGAATTTAAAGGGCCTCAGTGCTGAGCAAATGCTGAGGGTCCTGCTACAACCAGTCCATTTGCATGACACTGCACAAAACAGAGGAAAGCAGAAGATCCTAAAAACTTCCAGAAGGGGGTGGCGAGCCCACACAAAGCAGATCATATATAAAGGATTGACCACCTACCTGCAAGCTATGAGACTTTGCAACAGTAATATGGAAACTAGGAGACGATGGAGCATGCCTGTGAAATTCTAAGAGAAGACAAATTCCAACCTACAATTTGCTGTTCACTATCAGTCAGTCGGCCGGAGGATGGAATGAAGACCTTTTGAACATGCTGTGTCTCAAAAAATTTGCCCCCTGTGTACTCTTGGTGTTCAAACTACTAAACTACTGGAAGATGTCCACCAAGGGGACGGCATAAGTGAAGAAGAGCCCGGCACTGGCCCAAGGAGAGAGGAGAAACTCCTGGAGACAAGCAAAGGGAAGCTCTGAAGGCAGTTCCAGGCTGGCCCGTGCCTCGGGTCTGCAGGCAGCCCGCCCTGACTGTGGGGAGGTCAGACTTCAAAGCACAAGGCCCGGGAAGCACAGGGAGGCCTCACCAGATGGGGGTACCCCTCTGAGAAGAAATGTACAGTTCGGATGACCGGCTGGGGCCAAATTAAGAGGGGTGCATAAACATGAAGCACAAAGACATGTGACCAACCCCAACTAGGGACAGTTGTCGGCACAAAGAACAAGTTTCTGGGAAAGGAAACGCCATCACTGCATCTGATGTGGCTCTGCTGTGAACAGTACTTACATAGGCATACCTACCAGAACATGGATGAAGGAGCTAAGCAATAACTTTCAAGGTGAAACTCAATAGCAAGTGACATGCTGGTCTGTTGGTCCCACCTGACATTGTCCGCCTCCATGGGGTGAGCCCTTTCCCTTCCTGTCGCCCTAGCTGGTCCAATCACCGTCCAACTCCTGTGAGCACCACCTCAGCCCCACATACACACACCTGTCCTCCACACCGTGGCCAGAGGGCTCTTCCCCAAGGGCAGACTTAGTGGATTACCCCTGCTTGAGTCCCAGAAAGGCTCCTTCTTCTCAGGTGTGTGTCTAGAGGTGTTAGCCCTGCGATACCTTCCACACTGCAGATGGAGCCCAGGTGCAGTATCTGAAATGTAAGCTTCTGTTTGGACTTAGTATCATATGAAAGATGGCAGAAAACAGGATGACTGACCCAGAAGATAGGACCATAGACATTAGCCAAACTGAAGAACAGTGTGAATAAAGATTTTTAAAAAGCCCTGTGAGACATAAAGAGCAGGATTACACACATTGACTAGGGTGCCTGAAGGAAAGAAAATTAAAATACTTAATTAGTAAAAACTTCCCAATTTGATGAAAAACACTAATAGACCCAAGAAACTCAGCCAACCCGAGCAGGATAAATACAAAGAAAAGTATACTTAAGCACATAATACAAAAATCCAAAAACGCAGAGAAAATCTTGAAAGCAGCCAGAGAATGTATCACATCACCCGAAGAGGACAATGACCAAAGTGAGCACGAAGCACAGCTGACTTCTCATCAGGAACAATGAAAGTCAGAAGACCATGGGATGGTATTTATAAAATATCAGATCTTTCAAAAGCAAGTATGGACCTAGGAATAAACCTAACCAAGGAAGTGAAAGACCTATACTCTGAAAACTACAAGACACTCCTAAGAGAAATTAAAGAGGACACTAATAAATGGAAATTCATCCCATGCTCTTGGGTAGGAACAATTAATATTGTCAAAATGGCCATCCTGCCCAAAGCAATCTACAGATTCAACGCAATCCCTATCAAAATACCAACAGCATTCTTCAATGAACTGGGAACAAATAATTCTAAAATTCATGTGGAACCACAAAAGACCCCGAATAGCCAAAGCAATCCTGAGAAGGAAGAATAAAGCAGGGGGGATTCTCACTTCAAGCTCTACTACAAAGCCACAGCAATCAAGACAATTTGGTACTGGCACAAGAACAGACCCACAGACCAGTGGAACAGAATAGAGAGCCCAGATATTAACCCAAGTATATATGGTCAATTAATATATGATAAAGGAGCCATGGATATACAATGGGGAAATGACAGCCTCTTCAACAGCTGGTATTGGCAAAACTGGACAGCTACATGCGAGAGAGAATGAAACTGGATTAATGTCTAACTCCATACACAAAAGTAAACTTGAAATGGATCAAAGACCTGAATGTAAGTCATGAAACCCTAAAACTCTTAGAAGACAACATAGGCAAAAATCTCCTGAATATAAACATGAGCCAACTTTTTCCTGAACGCATCTCCTAGAGAAAGGGAAACAAAAGCAAATATGAACACATGGGACTATATCAAGCTAAAAAGCTTCTGTACAGCAAAGGACACCATAAGCAGAACAAAAAGGCATCCTACAGTATGGGAGAATATATTTGTAAATGATATATCCAACAAGAGGTTAACATCCAAAATATATAATGAACTCACAAGCCTCAACAACCAAAATGCAAATAACCCTATTAAAAAATGGGTGGAGGATCTGAACAGACACTTCTCCAAAGAAGAAATTCAGATGGCCAACAGGCACATGAAAAGATGCTCCACATCGCTAATCATCCGAGAAATGCAAATTAAAACCACAATGAGATATCACCTCACACCAGTAAGGATGGCCACCATCCAAAAGACAAACAACAACAAATGTTGGCGAGGATGTGAAGAAAGGGGAACCCTCCTACACTGCTGGTGGGAATGTAAACTAGTTCAACCATTGTGGAAAGCAGTATGGAGCTTCCTCAAATAACTAAAAATAGAAATATCATTTGACCCGGGAATTCCATTCCTAGGAATTTACCCTAAGAATGCAGCAGCCAGGTTTGAAAAAGACATATGCACCCCTATGTTTATCGCAGCACTATTTACAATAGCCAAGAAATGGAAGCAACCTAAGTGTCCATCAGTAGATGAATGGATAAAGAAGATGTGGTACATATACACAATGGAATAATATTCAGCCATAAGAAAACAGATCCTACCATTCGCAACAACATGGATGGAGCTTGAGGGTATTATGTTCAGTGAAATAAGCCAGGTGGAGAAAGACAAGTACCAAATGATTTCATTCATCTGTGGAGCATAAGAACAAAGCAAAAACTGAAGGAAAACAGCAGCAGACTCACAGAACCCAAGAATGGACTAACAGTTACCAAAGGGAAAGGGACTGGGGAGGATGGGTGGGAAGGGAGGGATAAGGGGTAAAAGGGGCATTATGATTAGCACACATAATGTATTGGGGGGCACGGGGAAGGCAGTATAACACAGAGAAGACAAGTAGTGATTCTATAGCATCTTACTATGCCGATGGACAGTGACTGTAACGGGGTATGTGGTGGGGACCTGATAATGGGGGGAATCTAGTAACCACTATGTTGCTCATGTAATTGTATATTAATGATACCAAAATAAACAAACAAAAAGCAAGTATGGTGATTCCTCAAAAACTTAAAAATTGAATTACCATATGATCCAGAAACCCCATTTCTGGGTATATGCCCAAAGGACTGAAAGCAGGGTCTCAAAACAGGTATATGTGTGCACCCAATGTCATGGCAGCACTATTCACATCAGCTAAATATGAAAGTGACCCAAGTGTCCGGTGGATAAACAAAACACGGCATGTGCACGGGGGGGAATGTTATTCAGCCTCACAAAGGAAGTTAAGTTCTGACACACAGAACATGGGTAAACTGGGAGCATGTTTTTCTGAGTGAAATCAGCCAGTCACCAGAGGACAAAAACTGAATGATTCCACTTACATGATGGTCTTAGAATAGTTAAAGTCATAAAGACAGAAGGTAAAATGGTAGATGTCAAAGGCTGGTGGTGGAGGGAAACGGGGAGCTATTGTTTAAGGGGGACGGAATTTCAGTTCTGTAAAGTGGAGAGGGATGGAGATGGAGATGGCTTCACATTATAAATGTACTGCAGTAATATCACTGCACTGTTCATTTAACAACGGTTAAAATGGTTATTTTTTACGTTGAGTATATTTTACCATAGTAAAAAAGTTTTTTAGAGGGGGGATGGGATTACACAAAGGCTGGATTACTAGAAGGGAAGATCAAGGGACCACCTCAGAGTCCGGCTGTCACTGACCAGGAACAGTTCTTGCATGTGTGAGTAACCCCTCCTTCATGAGGTGTGCAGACTCACATTTACCAGATTTTACTAGATAGCTTTTAGTTGATAACTTTTAACACTAATTTTTCATCAGGGATACATTCAAATTGATATCTTTATTTCAGAAATATAGAAATAGCTGGGCGTTGGAATTCTCTTCTCCGTATATGAAGATAAGCAGGTATGCTGGCAGAATGCTTACCTTGACCATAGCAGTCCCAGGGTCCGACAGTCGTGTGGCTCTCTGGAGATAGATGAACTGCTCGCCAGGCCTCCCAATGTTGATTCTCTGTGACACCTGCTGCAGCTATACCCCCAAGTAAATAAGAAGTACCCAAAGCCAGGAGGGAGTGTGCACAGGTGACCCCAGAGGGAGAGTGGGTGAGGCGGGAGGCCGCAGACATCTATGCTAAGTGCCCTAACAGTAGCATGTGCCACAGAATAAGTCTTTGAGGCATGAGGCCTGGACTCCTAGCCAAGGGCCAGCTGGGAAATCTCGGTCCAGACGGCCCTCTCCAGGCCTGAGCAAAGCAGACCTAACTCTCGGAGCTGATGTATCTTCTCTGGCAATTGGTTACGCCTACTGCCTCTTTCTAGGCTGCTCCTCCACACTTACACACGCATTTTTGGGACCCCAAGGGAACCTTGAGTTGGGATGCATTTAATTGTGGTTCATGGTACAATTTTGTGCTGTTCAGTCTCACTGGACTGTCCTGTGGTGAGTATATTGTCTATGGGTGCCAACAACCTGCCTGCACAGCGCCCAGCCCTGGGAGTTTGTGGGAATGAAGGAGAAACAAGACTTGGGGTGAGAACCCAGGAGTGAGTCTGTGCATAAACGAAATCGGGGTTGGTTCTCCCCAGCGCCCAGAGTGAGATGTCTCCTTACCATGTGCATTCCACAACGCAGCACATCCGATTTGACAAACTGCGCACCATTTTTCTTTTTGGCTGGGGATTGCATTCATCAGAATTTCTGTGTTTGTGGAGCGTTAAAGGAATGAATACAGGAATGCTACAGATGGTGAGCACAGCTACGTAAAGCCCCAAGGGTCACCCACACCGATGTCAACACTAACGTTCAGATACAAATCTGATCAACACTCTAGACAAGTATCTTAACTGTCTTTCTGTTCCTCCCATAAAACAATCCCTCAAAGTCATAATACGGCATTCAGAGAACACAGCCAAAAATATAAGGAAAAGCACTAAAGAGATGCATTTATTAATTGCAATCAGTTTAAAATTTATAAGACTTTTCTCATACAAAATTACCACAAATAACTGTAAAATATAACAATTATTGTAAAATAGTATATTTTAAACATGCAAAACATGTTACTTTCAGAACTAATTTTGTTTTTGTTTTTACAATTTCACATCTCTTTCCTTAAGAGCCCTCCCCCAAACTGTACATGCTCCCGGCCCCTGCTCCCAACATCACTCGAGTACAACTCCAGAAAAATAAAACTTGGGGGGTTGCATGCATCGTGGCAAAATAAAGGTATGAAACACAAACCACGTTCAACCGCACAAAACCGCTGAGGCTGCACTTGCTTCGGGCACTCACATCCACGCCCCCCCCACGTGGCCGGGCTGACGGCTCGTCCCGTCCC